TCAGCAAGGTTAATACTGATCCTCCACCATGTCCCATTTCCAATCAAACACGCCAAACTACAACCCAACCCAAACCCAAACCCAACCCCAACCCCATCCCCATCCCCATCCCCATCCCCATCCCCATCCCCATCCCCATCCCCATCCCCATCCCCATCCCCATCCCCATCCTCATCCTCATCCTCATCCTCATCCCCCAAAAGGTAGTGTGTTTGTGCAACAAAACAAAAGTGAATTCATCAAACCCAAAAAGCTTACCTGTCTGGGGCGTTCATCGTGACTGGTGATTAACAACCCGCTAAGAAAAGATCCCGTTGATCAAAAGAAGTGTGTGTGCCGCAAAGAAAACCGATGTAAAACTCTCTTTAAAGTGTACGGTATATCCCTTTCAAAGCAAACCAAGATAGCAAAAAAAGAAGCGATGGCGAATGTAATGTGAATGATGTTTTGATGAAGTTGTAAACCAAAGACTGATTCACTTCCACTCAAGGTTCACAAGAAAGAGGCAAACGCGTGGCCCGTGCACTCAACACGCCCCATTGTTCCAGATCCATGGATCCTTCCTTTTTCTACCTTTATATTCATTCACTTGCACCAAGCAGCTCAGATTAAATCATGGTTATTTGAAGACCAATCAATGTATTAACATCCCTCGCCCGCCGAAATTCAGTCTGGTTCCTCAGCAAATCACATTACAACCCTCCCAACCCAACCCCCCCCAAAGTCTGATGTATGTGGTCTACTACCTAACTACCTACATGTCTTACACGCTGCTCTAGTTGAAGCAAATAGAATCTACCAAGTAATACCAATGATGCAACCCTAAAAGATAAAACAAAATAAAAATAAAACACCCTTCTCCAAAACGACCTGCCCTCCCACTCCATAACCCTCCTACCCTGCATAGTGCTATGATTCAACCATGACGATTGACGCTAAACAGTTATTCAAAACAGAGAAAGCAAGGCTGTTCGTGTATGTGTGTGGTGTGTGTGTCTCGTGTGTATGTCATGTCGTATGTGCACAAGTCTGTGTTTGTGTGGTCATTCAGAAGGCGTGCCCCTTCGAGTCACAGTAACCCGGAGCACCGCCTCCTTCGGATCCCGAGGCCCAGCTCATGACCGTCAAGCTGGTGGTGTAGGCCATGGCCACGAATCCAAAGATGCAGAGCAGGATATCGGACCACTTGCGGAACGCCGTCTTGGCCACTGCCTTGTAGTGCAACATCGGCTGTATATCTCGTCAGCCAGAGTTTTAAGAAGATGAAGAATCATCAGAACTTACAGGATAGATGTACACCAGCGGGATGCAGGCAAAGTTACCAACGAGCGCCACAAACTTGTCCAGACTGTCGGCTCCTCCCCAGGCGATCAGAGCGCAGAACGCCACCACGAAGAAGCGGAACACGTTCTTTTGCCACTTGATATACGGGTTGTACTTGCCGCTCTTGGTGAAGAGCGCATTCTCCGTGATTCTGATGGCCGGGAAGATCTGGAGGGGAGTCGAAAGCAGAATAGCCAATGAATACAAGAACTGTACACCGTTGACCATCTTGTCGTCCTGCGGAAGGTTGAGCAACACCACCGTCTCAGTCTTGGATCCGTAGGCGGCATACGAAACCGCGCCCATGACGACAAAGAGAGTGGTGATGATAATCATCACAATACCCATGACCTTGGGGAACTTGGTAGGGTTGCGCATGGATTCCTGGATGGGAATGATAAGACCAATGCCCTCAAAGGTGAAAATGGCCGTGCCGATGAAGAGGGTCCAGTCTTTCTGGTTGAACATGACAATGTCTGCCAAACCTTGGGTGTTGAGCGTCAGAATGTCGTAGTAAAACAGATAGGCCAGACCGATGAGGATGAAGGCGTCGGCGATGAGAGCCGTGAAGCCCAGCTTTCCAATATCGCGAAGCAGAGAGAATGGCAAAAAGATCACCATCTGCATGACAATCAGCCAGGTGATCGGAATGTGCGTCTTGCAATCCGTCACAGCCAAGATGAATGCCTGCAAGTTCTCTGAGGTGAAGACGATGTAAGCAGCAACGAAGCCGATCTGGCTCAAAACGATCGAGAAGAGGATGAGATTCCTCATCCATTTGCCGTAGAGAATGCCACCAATATCACCAAACGAGCCCTCGACCCTCAATCTCGTATTGACGAGCAAAACAAAGCAGTAGTAGCTCAGAGCGGCTACAAACAGCAGAACCAAGTTGCTGAAGAGCATGCCACCATTGAGGTAGGCACGAGGCAGGAATAGAACACCAGTTCCCACAAAGGACTTGAGAAGCAGCAGCGCCGCGCCCATGGGACTGTTTGTCCCGCTTCCACCTCGCTCCTTTCTCCTTCTCTTCCGCCGGGATGGTGGCAGCAAAGCGCTGTCTTCCATTGGCTCATGCTCGTCCTCTGTATCGTCATCGAACAGGTTACTTTCGCTGCCCGACGTGAAGTACTCGCCAGGTTTGAGCACCTCGTCATCCTCCTCGAGTTCTTCACCGGCGAAGTGGCCATAGAGAGAGAGAAACTCGAGGAAGCTGTTGGTAAAGAGTTTCGGCGGCTGCTGTCGGTCGCTCGGTCCTGCGCCGTACTCGGTGTCATCCGGGTTGACTGGTCCATCCCCGGCCGCGCGCCTCAGGAAGTTGCGTCTGAAGCCTCCGGGAACCTTGATGGTGTTGATATCAAGCGTCTCGTTTTCAGGATCCGGCCGCGGTGTGCTGAAGCTCTTGCTGCGCTGCATCTTGTTTCGTTGTTCCACCTCTTCGGTCCATTTGTATATTGGCCTAGTGATGTCACCGCCCTGCAGTTTCAGACTGGAAAACTCGTCGTCAAAGTCATCTTCTGCCGGCTGTTTTCCCTTGGAGCCATCGCTGAGTTTCCTCGACCCGTCATCGGACCCAGCATCGCCTGGCTGAACCAAGTGCCTCTTGACAATTTCGGGGTCCTCATACGCGCCGGAATAATTCCGCCTTGCGTCAAAGGAGCCATGATATGGCGAAGTACCCGACGCTGGGAATGGCGCTGCCCCAGGAGCAGGAGAAAGGGAGCGGTTCGGGACGGGCGAAAGGGCTCGAACAGGAGGCGTGCCGAAACGCGGTGGTGAAGTGCCTATCGACTGGGACAATGCCGCAGCCAGCGCCGAGATACCTGGGCCAGCAGCGTGCGAGCCAGGCCCAGGCAGAGGCGCCAAACTGTCTGAATCTCCCTTATCACCTAGTGGTGGTGAGGTTTGTGCGGCAGGAGGTGTGCCATAGCCATTGTATGGGCGAGCCGGTGAGGCAAGTCGAGCAGTGGATGATGCGCGTGGGATCGAGCCAACGAAAGACCTGGCACGAAACGAGCCGGGTGAAGTCGAGACTTGAGGTATAGGAGCCGGAGCCGGAGAATCCCTTCCGGTATTTGACATGATGATCTATGATGATGTGTGACCACTTTCTATCTCATGTCTTGGAGCAAAAAAAGGTTGGGTATCTGGTGTTGGTGACCTGACCTCGTCGGTGAACTGAGCGAACGCCGCAAACGCCGCTTCGTGGGACTCGAGACAAACAACGGTTCGAGACTCGATAGGATGGTTCGAGGTAGCAATTGATTTTTGCCGTCAACGTTTGGGAAGAGGACAACGGTCCGGGGGAAAAGAGGGGATGGTACGGATAGGCTGGGCGGTTGATGAGTCTCTCTCTCTCTCTCGACGGCGTGGGATGGGCTTGTGACCTCAACACCAGCGATAAGGAACGAATTGGGGGCAAGACAATCAGCGGCAGTGGGCGGCCTGCTGACAGCAGTTGGAGCTTGACGGTGTTGAGCGGCTTCCGCCGGGCCCACCAACCAGCAAGGCCCCCACACTCCGCTGCGTGAAACAGCCTGGACCCTGAACCACAGTCACCTGCCCACACAATTCCAAGCTGTCCAACTTTGGCTCGCTGTGACGCATCATATGGATATGGCTACCTACATATGAATATGGATTATTTACCTGTTTCTCGATTGGATTATGTCAGTTGTTGAGGACTACTATCTGCCCCAAGGCTTTGTTGACATACAACTTCAGCAGGGAACATCCGTTGACACCTTGATAACCAGGGCCGTTCCTGAGCACAGACTGGACTGAGCCACCATGGATACCGATGTCAACCAGCCTCTCCAACATTTCTTCAACTGTTGCATACCTACTCTCTCTCTCTCTCTCTTTGAATCTGTAAAGGGGCTATCCAAACCGAGCCACAAGAGAGAGGAGTGCGGAGAAAGTCTATGGACCTTGGCCAGACACCAGATATGCAGCAGTCTCAACATATCTGTCCGCATCCGATGCTTTAAAAGGCCGGATGTTGAGGGAACCAACCAACCCTTACCCATCAGGTAGACCGATGCAACGGCTACACGTAAAAGACGACAGGGAGCGATAGGAATCGCACCGTCTCTGTATCAAACCCCTCTTTCAAAGAGAGGTTGGGGTGGATCTTGAATTTGGGTCTAGGCTGTTGATGGTGGTGCGCTAACAAATTTTACCAACATCTTAGTCCTGTCTGAGATAGCACCCTATCAACCACCCCGCCATCGTTGGTGTTTACTGCCAAGTGCCAAGTCTCTCGAGCTCAAAGTCGCGACCGACCATGAACAGCGCCAGCTCAAAGGCATTCGTCAATGGCTCCAAAGCTGCCTGTTGTTGGGTACATCGCTTGTATCGAATGACGTCGCCGTCCTCCAATTAATAGCCAGCGATTGTCGGACAAGAACCACTCCTAACACGAGCCTCGAGCCTCTTCCGGCGCGGGGATCTTTCCAGCAGATATCGCGACATTCGAGGGCCAACCTTGAACAGCACTTATCTTGCGACAACCTCAGACCATCGTCTCCATTTCCTGCACTTCTGTCCACTTTCCCCACCGCATGATCTGCGCCATTGCAACCGTTTGCCGATGACCTTTCAAGCAATGCGGGCTGTGGGGTACTTCTTACATCTAGGCTATCGGCGCTGGTCAGGACCCTGACCTCTTCCTCCCTCTTCGCTTCCTCTTCAACTCTCACGGCGGGGACGGAGAGCGTGACATGAGTGGCATGTTCTGATGATCTTTATGACCTCTTCTTTCTACCTTTTCTTTGAACGATCTCATCCCCTCAGCTCACACATGATATCTACCTAACACCGCCATCATGGAACCCGAAGCCCTCAACAAGAGGACCAAGCTCGGCGTCACGTCCGGCGTCTACATCCCGGTATGCCTCAATATTCTCAGCATTCTCATGTTCTTGAGATTCGGTCTCATTCTTGGACAAATCGGCCTACTGGGCATGCTTGGTGCGTACAGCTTATGGACATGATATGGACGGCCGCCCAGGAAGCTAATCTGCCTCGCAGGCCTGCTTCTCGTTGCCTATCTCGTAGACTTTGTGACCACTCTTTCGCTCTCCGCTATTGCTTCCAATGGAGAGGTCAAGGGCGGAGGTGCCTACTACCTCATCTCACGATCTCTCGGTCCCGAGTTCGGCGGCTCTATCGGCCTGCTCTTCTACCTCGCTCAGGTCTTGAACACGGCCCTCAACGTTGTCGGTCTTATTGACTGCATTAAACTCAACTTTTACGATGTCATGCCCCATGGATACTGGTGGGACTATCTCTTTGAGACGGTTGCTCTGGTGGTGTGCACTGGGCTTTGCCTTGCTGGAAGCTCCATCTTTGCCAAAGCCAGCAACGCGCTTCTGGTGGTGCTTGTCGTCGCCATCCTCAGCATCCCCTTCTCAGCCGTGTTCAACCCAGCCTTCATTGATGCGGACAAGGGGATCGAGTTCACGGGCGTGAGTCTTGCAACCCTGAAGGCAAACCTCTTTCCACACACTACCGGCATGGAGTATGCCGGTTTTGATACTTTTAGAAGTCTCTTCGGTGTCTTGTTTCCGGCAACTTCGGGTATCTTTGCCGGTGCGTCCATGTCGGGAGACCTTCGAAACCCCAGCAAATCCATTCCTCGTGGAACACTATGGGCCATGTTCTCGACCCTCATTGCCTACTTGCTGGTGATCTTTTCTTTGGCGTCTAGCACAACTCACAGCTCGTTTCTCCGGAACGGCAACGTTATTCAGGAAACAAATGTCTACCCTCCCATCATCTTTGCCGGAGAGTTCGCCACGACCTTCTTCTCGGCCCTCATGGGAGTGATTGGCTCTGCAAAGCTCATGCAAGCTCTCGCCAGAGACAAGTTATTCCCGGGTCTGTCAGTATTCGGCAAGGGGACGAAAAAGGCGGACGAGCCTATCGTTGCCATCTTTTTGACCTACATATGTGCCCAGATGGCCATGTTTGCCAACCTTAACCAGATCGCCACCTTGATCTCCATGGGATATCAGGTGAGAACAGGCTGCCGTCATTGAGTGAGGGAAGAATTCTGACTGTGAGCAGATGACCTTCTTCGTCATGAATCTTGCGTGTTTCCTTCTCAAGATTGGCTCGGCGCCCAACTTCAGACCGGGCTTCAAATTCTTCAACTGGCAAACGGCCTTCATTGGCAGCATCCTCTCGGCCGCTGCCATGTTCTTTATTGATGAGACCTATGCCACCACGGCCGTCTGCCTCTTGGTCTTTTTGTTCCTGCTGATTCACTATCTGAGTCCCCCCAAGCACTGGGGTGACGTTTCGCAAAACTTGATCTATCATCAAGTGCGCAAGTACCTGCTACGTCTCAAGCCCGAGCACATCAAGTTCTGGAGACCCCAGATCATCCTGCTCATCAATAACCCGAGACGGCAAACCCGCCTTATTCAGTTCTGCAACTCGATGAAGAAGGGCTCCCTCTACATCCTCGGCCATGTCATCGTCACTGACGACTTCACCATGGGCGTCAACGAGGCCAAGATGCAACAAACGGCTTGGTCCAAGTACATCTCCGAATACTCAAGGATCAAGGCCTTTGTGCAGCTCGCCATGTCTCCATCCATCACCTGGGGTGTCAGAAACCTGATCTTGTCTGCAGGCCTAGGGGGCATGAGGCCCAACATCGCAGTGCTTGGATTTTATAACATGGATGACTTGCGCCGCTCCCAGTCCTCCCTCCAGGTTCCTGAGGCGCCCATCTCCCCCGCAACGGCTGCCCGGACAGACGACAAGACGGAGACTCCGGTCCGCAGGAGGAAGAGAGGAGACACATCGGCGCGCTTGATGGAAGGGTCGTTGCCCACCGATGCGATCAAGACTGAAGACATGATGTCTGCCACGAGTTACATGACGATCCTGGAAGACTTGGCTCTGAGGTACCGTCTGAACGTTGCGATTGGCAAAGGATTTGATACGCTTGAAACGCCTCGGAAGGATAAGACGAACACCAAGAAGTACATCGACTTGTGGCCTATCCAGATGTCTGCTGCGATTAGTGCTGATGGTCAGAGCGTTTTGACCACCAATTTTGACACATGTAAGTCACACACCACCTCTGACACGTGGAGACAGATCCTTTCTGACCGGCACAGACACATTGATTCTTCAGCTTGGGTTCATCCTTCACACCGTACCCGCTTGGAAAGCAGCACACAAGCTTCGAGTGCTCGTCTTTGTCGAATACGAAAGCGAGGTCGCCGAAGAAAAGGTCAGACTCAAGACGCTGCTCAACAAGCTCAGAATCGACGCCGAAATCTTGGTCTTTTGGCTCGCCTCTGGTGACCTCTCGACTTACGAGACCATCATCCAGGGCCATTACAAGAGTCCAGAGACGGATAATGTGGTTAACGAGTGTCTCAAGAACCAAGAATGGTGGGAGGATTTGCAAAACTACCGCAGCAGCCGGTCGATGACGGGCTCACAAGAATTTGCCTCGATATCACACGTCGTTGAATCTACGTCGGGACGGCCGGGACTCTACAATCCCCATGCCCCGCCGCAGGAAGGACTCGAAAGGCGGCGCCATAGTTTGGCGCAGCTGACGGAACTTCCCAAGAAGCCGACAGTGTCGCAGCTGGTCAAGATGGGCATCAGCATGGGCATTCACACACAAAACCTGCCCTTTAACGTCTTTGACAGCTCGGACTCGGATATTGGCATTGATAGCGATAGCGACAGCGACTCCTCCGGCACGGCTGGCGCAGACGGGACGTTCAATGACGCGGACAGTGTGGCAAGCGAGGGTGAAGATGGCACAAGGCGTCCCCTCCTCGCGACAATCCGCCGGCGAAGAAGCTACGGAGATGTACTCGCCCCGGCACCAAGAAGCCCAAGGAAAGAGAGGAGGCCAAAGGGTTCGCACTCATCGACACCGCGGTCTTATGGGTCAATAACACCGGTTCCACGGACTGCGAGTGACCTAAGCGTCAACCGACCCAGCAACGGTGGGGAGCGGTCAACATCGCCCCAAGCCAAGCGTGGGATCTTGAAGCCCGAAAGACCCCCTTTGGCGCGCCAAGGATCGACGGCAATGAGATTCTCCAGCAACCTCGTCCCTCAGACCACAATCACCAACGAGGAAGGCACCGGCCCAAGAATCATGTTTGCCGAAGATTCTGGGACACGCAGCCCTGCCTTTTCCCGACAAGGTTCAGTTATCGGTTTGTCAGCCAGAATGGCCGAGGATGCACCGCTTCTCGGAAGCGATGATAACGTGGCCGATAAAAAGGTTGCGTTTGCAGAGGGTATCAAGTCCCCGGCAAGGTCGCGTCGGAACTCGGCATCAAAGGGACAGGATAATGGTGGCGACGCTTCACTCAACATTGCCAGCTTGCTCGACTCTTACCAGCTTCCTGACGACGACGCCAGCAACAATAACGGCTCGAGCTACTCTACTCAGGGGTTGGCTTTGTCATTCAACGATCTCCCGAGCCGCGCGCAGCATTTGATTCTCAACGAGCTGATGCATAAGCAAAGCAAGGACACGGCTGTCTTGTTCACCACACTTCCTATTCCCGAAGAGAACACCTGTCAAAGTGAGGAGGCGAGTCTGGCATATCTGTCTGATGTCGAGGTGTTGTGCAACGGCCTGCCGCCCACCTTGCTGGTTCTGAGCAACAACATGACAGTGACCGTCAGTCTTTAGACGATAGCATTGTCTTCGGACTTGTCGGGATGGAGCAACATGGCGGGCCCCGAGGTAGCATGACGCAAATGGAGTTGCGTACGCAGCATGGCAAAAGCGGGAGTTCTTTGTTTTTGATCTGAAGTAGAAGGGGGGACAATCACGAGTCGAGGCTTTGCACAAAGAAAACTGTACTTGGTATCATGGCTGCTATAAAGAGAATCTAGGAACATCTCGAGTTCAGCTCCGCCACTGCATGAACTTGATCAAAATGCTCGGACGTCAACCTGGAACTGAGATCTTTCAACTCATATGTGTTCACCCCTGAATGGTTGTCGTAATGCCCAACGAACCACCGAGCCCTCGACCGATCGGCCTCTCTCAAAAGCTTCGCGACTTGAGCCGGTTGCGTTCCAAAGGGATTGAGGACAAAGGAGAAGCTGAACAGTTTCGCATGGTACACACGCCGGACCGCCCACACAGGATCATCACGCCTGTTGAAGCGCCGTCGGAGGAGGAGTGCGGCGACACGATCTCGAGCTGGCACAAGGCCGTCAAAGAGGATAGTGATAGTGAAGGGGAAGAAGAAAAGGTCAGGCCGGCGAGGTCGTACTGGAAAATTCCTGACTACACTGGAGGTCACCCGGGCCGGTTTCAGCAGTCTCAACATCACGAACCTCACGCACGAGGGCATTCGCATATCTATACTCCGAGCGGGTTGAGTCAGGAGGTGCACGTCGACTCGTTTCAAGAAGGCTCACGGGGTGCTCGGAGGAGTGTCAGTGAGCATAACGACAGGACGTATTTGGAATCACCTGTCCCTCGTCCGCTGGTGCCGAACAAGAGCAAGGAGAGGCAGAGGTATTTGCAGCAGGTCACTCCGCCATCGGTGAAAGAGGGCGTGGTGGAAAGAGATATCTCGCGCGGAAGGGGAAGGGAAAAGGCCGAGCCTCCTCGGGTACCAGCAGCGGCAACACATTCCTTGCCTAGAGAATGCAAAATCCAGACCACGGAAGCTGTGCGTCGGGGCCAGTGCCCGTATTGCAGATGTCAGCTTGGTAACAGGACTTACCTGACCTGCCCGAACCCACCCTGCGGAAAAGGGTTGACTACCTTTGAAGGGAGTTGGATGGCGCCGCCCAAGCTGAAGGATAGGAGGCCCGCCTCGCCGTCGATATTTGGTGTCATCGGCAGACAGCTTCTCGGGCGCCGCCCGTTGAAGTCATCGCCAGATAGTACAGGGTCCTCGCCCAGCCAGCAGAAACGCTCAGGAACTAACACCCCAGAAGCACTAGCTACCCTATCAGAGTCAATAGCCTCTGTAGGGAGTCGACGATATAGAACCCCCCCGCCGCCGCCAACAGGGACATCCAGACGAGGGGCGAGGACGTCCTCTCCAGCGGATCCGACCTGGCCACAAAAACCCTCCAGCCACGAACGAGACAGAAAACGTATCCCACCCCCAGTCCACATCCACCAACACCCCCGCTTCGACCACCTAAATCGGGATTACTCCTCCGACTCATCAGGAGCATCAACCCCCAAAAGCCACTCCCCAGCTCCCGCCCCCCCACCGCAGATAACCCTCCCCCTCCGCCCAGCACCACCCCCTTCCCAACCCCCGAGATCAGCTCCCCTCCGAGCCCCTGCCTCGTTAAACAACCCCCAACAACAACAACAACAACAACAACAACAACAACAACAACAACAACAACAACAACAACAACAACAACCCCCTACCAAGCCATCCCTCGTATCCAAATTCTCCACCGCCCACCAACCCCCGCAACAATACCCCCCTTCCCACATCGCCTCAGCCTTATCCTCCTCCCTCCCCCAATCAACCGCACCCTCGTTAGATTGGATCCCCCCCTCTGAACGCTCCCTTTTTTATCCATACTCCTACTCCAAACCCCCTTCCCCGCCTAAAAAGTCTTCTTCTCGGAGACGCTCCCAGTCTCAACACAGTTATCCCTCCCAACCACCTCTGCAATCCCGGTTTGGGGTCCAGCAACAACAGTCCAGCACACAATCTGACGGGCAGGGTGATTACCTCGACGATATCTACGACCACTACGGTGGTGGTGATGGCGGTGGTGAAAAAGGGGCATACGACACCGACGTCACCACCAAGGGCCCCGAGAAGGTTGCCACAAAGCAAAAGAGCTGGAGTTCGTCGAAATATTCGACTGGCAGGAGAAGTGAGGACACAGACGATGATGATGATGATGATGATGGGTGGAATCAACTAGATGACGTCGAGACGCCTACTCAACTAAAACCAACGCCGGCTTTTGGGGTTGCGGGGGTAACAACTGAGGGGAAGGGGAGGAGGGAGGGAAAAGGGGGGTATAAATCCCAAGCGGAGAACAAAGGGTTGAGTGTTACCGCGGGGGAAAAGGAAGGGTCAAAGGAGAGGTTGGCCAAGGAGTTGGAGTTGAGGAGGATGAAGTGGCTTTAAGAATGGGTGTGTCAAGTAGGTAGAGGTACAGATTTGTCAACGCCAGAAAAACACACAATTCAAACCAGCATCACAAACTCGCTCTCCATTACTCACCGTGCGGCGTGAGATGGGCCATCTACCAGAAGCTTTGCTTGCTCCTATCAATGCTCCCGAACCATATCTCTTAAAAAATCAAAAGAAAAACCACAGGAAACCCCGGGCAACGCAAGGTACGCTTGAAACCCACATGTCTTTGAGCCCCCCCTACTCGTAACCCCTCGTCCGCCTCGTCCCCGTGATATCACAATAAACCGACAACTCCCCCCCCCCATCACCGGGTTCGTCCAAACACCGCCCTCCTCCACAGCATCCGGAACCTTCGCCTGCCACTTCTGATCGTTCAGCCGCTGCGCCCACGCCCAGTCAAGAGTGTAGCCCGCGCGCTCACCCCCAGCAGCAGCGATCCCACCAAGCGAAGGCGTCAGATCAGCGCGAGCGAAGCCATGAGTCCCAATAATGCTGAGTATTCACAAGTCAGCAAACGGCCAGATTCCCCCCCCCCCCCCCCTAACTCAACCCACTCAACATACCATACGACTCCGCATTCCTCAAAGTCGACTGCGTATCCAGCCTCATGGCATTCTGCCAACCCGCCGTGTGCTCATTGTCAGGATGGGGATAATCAATGCTAAAATACCTAAACGCATGCATCCACTCGTGAAGCAGGGCAAAGACGGGCAGGACGGCATCCCTGTTGATTTTGATATATCTGGCCAGTGGTTAGAAAGATGGGAAGGATGGAAGGATGGAAGGATGGAAGGATAGTTGGTAAGATTAGAAAAAAAACATACCACATATTGCACGGGTCTCGTGTGTCCTCGTAACGGTCCTGGTCGTCGCGGTCTAATAGTGTTAACAGAGCCATATGTATTAGAAAGACCAAAGTGAAAAGGGGGATGGATTCGTCCGTACAGATGTGCACTTTGGCTTGGTTGCGGTTGGTGGTGTTCTTCTATTCATTGCCCAAACTGTTTAGGTTTTCCATAACGATGGCGCTTGCTGCCATTTTCGTTTCGCCATAGACGGCCTCGAAAAGCTGCGGGTAGTGGTACCCCCTCTGGTCGGAGACCTCGGTCTTGAAAATAGCCCAGAATACGTTGTGGAAGTCAGTGTCGGTGGGATCGGCCAGCCGTTCAGCTGCACTGCCGGCCATGTAGAAGGCCTCTTGGGGGTACTTTGCGAAGTCTGGATCCGGATCGTAGCATTCTGAAGATATCCAGTAAAGGTACTCGTTGGGGGGTAGCGCGGTTGCGAGACAGGCAAGACCCAAGGCCCAGAGGAAGAGGAAGGCCCAAATTGCTGTCTCTTGTTGATGGCGAGTGATGCGGAGAGATGATGATGCTGTGAGAAGAAATATCTGGTGTATTTATACTGAGACTAACTCGGATGACGACGACTGTCCCGACGACAAGCCTGAATGCCCTAAGCCCGACTGCGAAGGCAATTACCTCGACCTTTGCACCAAGGAGCCCATCATCAACTGCCCTTGCGACGTGTGCCTCAAAGTCGAAGACGTCTTTTGCGAAGATGAGGCTTGTATGGGAGTGGGCGAGGATAAAAATCTCCAGGGAACGTGCCTCGTAGACAACAGTCTCGAAAACTGCCCATGCACCTGGCCTCCCTGCCCAGTCTCAAAAGTGGACTTGAACGATGGAAGCAAAGAAGAACGGCCGCACCCCTTGTTATGCGATACCTGCGACGGTTCCCTCGGTGTAGGCACTCTCGATGCCTTCCTCTGCAAATGGCATCAAGATACCCGGTTCCGACAAGCTCAGGAATGAAAAGTGCCCCTGACAGTTTCTCGAACCCGAGCCCAACATTTCCAACACCACCGACATAGAAGTTCAAGCCCCGGCATTGGCCACGTCAGGCGATCATGACTTTTACTTCGATCTCGACACAACTGCCCAGCTCGCCAACGCCTCCTGTCCTCTCAAGTCACCGGGCGCACGGAGGACTGGTCCAGACGCTCCGGGTGATAACTACTACACTCCCGGTTCCGTGGAATCAGCCATTGAGTACTTTTGTAATGAATACGCAAACAAGGACGACATAGTGCGCATATCCGATCTCTTCTTAGTGGCCACCCCCCAGGACGACTATCCAGAACACCGAGTCCCAACCTGGATCAGCGCGCGGAACTGGACAGACCACCCAAATAGGCATGAGTGCGACAAGACAAGCCTGATGGCCAACCACACTCTCCAAGCCAGCGAGTGTAATCTGGCCTTGAAGCAGGCCAACTTTACGTGCTCTGGTGACAACGCGGACCTCACCCGTGGAGGAAGCCGGCCAGGGTACTGCCTTGCCTACGAGATCGTCACTTCGGAGACTTATAACCGGGACTACAGGCTGTTGGAGGCGGAGAATACTGGTGGTTTCTTGGAGGCGTGGTCGGGCGGGAGCAACGCCAAGCGGAACGGAACTGCTCCTCGAGTCTTCAAAGGGAAACAGGACGTCGTCGTCGGCTGTGGGCAAGCAGAAGCCACAGGAGACAAAGGAGCCCAAGGGTGAGAAGAAGCCTCAGGGGAAGCCAAGGCTTTTCGAATAATTGGGGGTGGCGGTGGAACTCGAGACTTGGTTCGGTACCAATTGGAATACTAGGTAGTTGAGTTATCCATGAGATCGTGGTCGGTATACTCGTGTGAACGGCTGTTGGCCGTCATCGCCAACCAACGCGAACTACATGGCGCTGAATATGATTCCAAAGATGGTTTTGTATCGGATTGAAGAATGTAAGCATTGAAAAGTTGCATGGTGAAAATCAGGCATCGTCCGAAGAAGAAGCCGAGAGTCAAGTAAGTGCCTTCCGCCTAAATTGAGGTGGTCAGCTGTTGCCTGCTTGGGAATCTGCAGGAAGGAGCTCAGGCAGCGCAGTCAGGGAAAGAGCAACTCTTGAAGTCGAAGGGTTGAGGTTGAATAATTGGCACGTGAACGAGGGATGACCTGCGCCCCAAGCCCCAGCCCAGCCCCACATGGAACGCCCTCCGACAAAGCGACCAATGTCATCATGTCTTGTCGTGTCGTCCATCATGCCTCTTTAGTCCCAGCCCTTCTTTTGATTTTGTTCTTGCTATTTCATTCCCATTTAATCTCGGATCACATCCACCATTGTTATTACCTAGTCAATCAAACAACTTCACAATGGTCCTCGAACAAGAAGGCACCTTTACCGTCTCGGGAGCAGAGCTCTACACCAAGTCATGGCTTGTCCGTTGTTCCCTTCTCCTACTCGCATTACTCCCTCGCTAACCACCTCATAGCCCGATGGACCCATCAAAGCCAGGCTAGTCTTCATCCACGGCTTCTCAGACCACATCAACCGCTACCCAGCCTTCTTCTCCCACCTCGCCTCCAAAGGAATCGCTGTGTACGGCTTTGACCAGCGAGGATGGGGCCGGTCAGTCAAGAAACCTGCCGAAAGGGGTCTCACGGGCCCAACAGCGCAAGTTCTCTCAGACATTGCTGCCTTCCTCTCACAGCCCCATCTTCTCGGCACACCCGGGAGCCAAGAACCGGTCTTCGTAATGGGACACAGCATGGGTGGAGGACAAGTTCTCACCTTTGCTGCTGACCCAAAGTATGAGTCCTTGGTGGAGAAGGTTCGGGGTCTCCTCCTTGAAGCACCGTTTATCGGGTTCTCGCCAGAGGAAAGACCGTCTCGGTTGAAGATTACAGTTGGAAGACTGGCGGGGAGGTTGATGCCGCACTTTCAGCTTGCGCACAAGATTGCTGTCGAGCATCTGACGAGGGATCAACATGTGCAAGTGAGTATCAAGGAGGATGAGCTGATGCATGATACGGGCACGCTGGAGGGTTTTGCCGGGTTGTTGGACAGGACGAATGATTTGCAGCAGGGGAGGACGAAGCTGGGGAAGGAGGGGGTGGTGAAGAGCTTGTGGGTTGGGCATGGGACGGCGGATAAGACGACCTGGTTTGAGGCTACGAAGCAGTGGTTTGAGGGGTGTGCGGGTGGGGTGAAGGATAGGACGCTGAGGGCGTATGAGGGGTGGTATCATCAGCTGCATTGTGATGGGGAGTGTAGTGGCGAGTTTTTTGAGGATGTCGCTGGTTGGATATTGGAACGGGCTGGGGGAGGGGAGGAGGTGTTGAAGAAGGCTGGGGAGACACCGAAGGCTCAGCAAACACAGGAGGCTGTGGTGCCCGTTGAGGCGGAGGGGAGCCAGAAGACGGAGGCCAAGCTTTGACGATCAGATTGGGGTAATGAAGTTGAATGATGTGGTGATGGGTTTGGGTAGTCCTGCCGGGAGAGGTTGGTTTAAGCGCGGGACTGCGTCAGGTCACGAGCATATGTCTCTTGTATTTCCTGGATATTCCTACCTCGTAATGATAAGTGATGTTCTACAGAGGGTTGCCCGAGTGTACACCCGGACACACAGTGAGTAGTGGGTCTTGGCATGTCGGGGATGGCTTCGGCAGTCACCCGCGAAGTGCCCTGTTGCTTCCGAGCTGTCCCGACTCATGTCCGGGGCCCCGCAAAACCATATGCATGAACGGTTTATAAGTGGGAGACGCCCTCCGCAAGGAATTGCTTGACATCTGAGCTTCGATTTGAATGCCATCTCGACGATTTCAAGAGGCCTCCTCACCAAGCTGCGAATGAAGACATCGGCCCCTCATCAACACCAATCACCGACCCCGCTGTTGCCTCCTTAAACCCACTGAAGAAACACCCATGGTCAATCGAAACGATCGAACCATGTCGTCCATCATCGGGTGCTGTTCAGCCTCAACATCGACTTTATCGTCACCTGGATGAAGATATGGAAGAGAAATTTCCAAAAAAAATTTATTTAAAAAATATGATACTTTTCAACCGCCCCCCCGCGTTTGATGCGCCTCGCAGCACTTGTTAGCCTTGACGCTCACTCATCACAATGAATGACCCCGGACAGTCGTTGGAGGAAGCTCCCCGCCGGCACCGACAGCGGAGTTCTTTTTCCTATTCCCCCGGCCATCATCCCGCAGCGCGCCCGACGCAAGCGTCGCATCGCCCATTTCGTTTGCAGCAGCTGTCGACGGCCTTTGCCAAATCACATCTGCACGGTGGACACCGTGCGGGCAGGATCAACCATCCGAGAAGCTGGAGTCCAGACGCAAACCCCATCTTGCTAAACACGTTTCGAAGCTGAGGTAGGGGTTCGCACGGTTCTAACAACACGCCCCCCCTGATACAAGACCGTCTGTCTGCGACATCCCCAGTTCTGTCTGTCTGTCTCTCTCTCTCTTTCCCTTTCCCTTTAGCCATCGAAAAAGGTTGGGGAAGTTCATCCCATCTCTTTGAACTCGGCCCACGACAGTTTCTCCACGCGTTCATCTTATCAGATCATCGCGATACCCATCCGTTGACACATCGCGAGTGGAACCTACCATCTGCGACCCCGGCCCCTCATCTCTACATCAGGAAGGAAATACCGCAGCTTTTTCCATCGAGCTTTTTCCAACTTTGACACCGGGGATCGAGATTTCGTCAAACAGGGCGCAATGGAGCCGGATCTATCAGCCAGCATCTCCTTCCACCCGCACGCGTTCAGGACCCAGTCCGAGACAGCTAACACCCCTCGACTGTCCCGATCGCGCGCAACCTCCCCCGCCGCTCCCATGAACAGAATGACTATAGACGGCGCCAACAGCACCGCCATCGAAGCCACCGACGGCGCTGATGACACCACCGTCGCCCGCCATCCCCACCGCCCTGACGATGTCGAGGTAGAATCTCAACGGGCAGGCCGCTTCCCCCTTGTCGGCGCCGGCAACGACCCCTACGGCCTTTCGCAAAGATACAAGACCGAGTCCGAACTTGCCGAGATCAAGGCGAACACGTCCAGGAAGCGAGACGCCCCGTCCAGCTCCGGCTCGGGCTCCAACAAAAGCAGCAAGTTCTCTGGATACATCAAGCCCTTTGGGCGCAACGCCACCCAAGCCCGCCAGCTCCGCGGGTTTTATGAAGCGCAAAACGAAACGATCGAGCGAATGCTCAAGACGGTCGAGGAACACCGCGCCGAAGCCAAACAGGAGCACGGTGAAGATCACCTCAAGTTCCAGATCGCCGTCTGGGGCTCTTTGGCTGCCAACGTGGTTCTTACCGTCCTCCAACTCTACGCCGCCATCTCGTCTGGGTCGCTGTCTCTTTTCACCACCATGGCAGACGCCATCTTCGACCCAATGAGCAACGTCACGCTTATTCTCACCAACAGGGCAGTCAAGAGAGTTGACCCGAACCGGTTTCCTGCCGGGAGAGCAAGACTGGAAACGGTGGGCAATATCGTCTTTTGCTTTTTGATGACAGCCGTGTCGATGATTATCATTTCTTTTGCCGCGAGGGACTTGGCGGAGCACAACGGGGAGGACCAACTTAAGGATTTCCACCTCCCGTCCATCATCGCCGTCGGCGCGGCCTTTGCGACAAAGTTCACCTTGTTCCTCTACACCTGGGGCATCAAGGACAAGTACTCCCAAGTGCGCATCCTCTGGCAAGACCACAGGAACGACCTTCTTGTCAACGGGTTTGGCATCCTGACTTCGGTTGGCGGTTCCAAGCTGATCTGGTGGTTGGACCCGGCTGGTGCGATTTTCTTGTCGGTCGTCATCTCTGGTCTCTGGCTTAGGACTGCTTTTACGGAATTTTTGCTGTTGGTGGGCGTTGTGGCTAGTGTGGAGGTTCAGCAGCTGATCACGTATGTGTGTGTGACGCATAGCCCGCTGATTAGGCAGATTGATACCGTGAGGGCGTATCACAGCGGGCCGAGGCTGATTGCGGAGGTGGATGTGGTGATGGATGCCGAGGCGAGCTTGAGGGAGACGCATGATGTGGCGGAGGCGCTGCAGATGAAGCTGGAGGAGCTGCCGGATGTAGAACGGGCGTATGTGCATGTTGATTATGAGACTACGCATAAGCCGGAGCATGGGTTGAAGAAGGATATGTAGGTTTAGGGGGGGAGAGGGCATGTGTACGATATCATTTTGTATGGGAAGGCTTTTTCAGGAGGAAAATGCCATGTTCTTGTTGAGGTTATAATGATGAAATTTACAGTTGTTATGATGCAATGGTCCAGGGGGGTTTTTGGCAGTAGAGTAGGTTTCTCATCATGGGGTTGGTTACGTTGAAATGGGGGGTGCCGTGCTTGCTTAGTATGGTAAGGAAAGTCGGAGTGAGTGAGGGACTGGTGAGAGGTGGTGAGCTTGGATGATGAGAAGCGGTTGAGCAAAATGGATATGGCTAAAAACCAAGCCGCGTTCGGAAATTGTGTCACTTGAAGATGTAGGTCATGGATGAGTGTGGTGAGGACGGTGGGAAAAGTGAGACAACAGTGAACTGGGGTCCGGGATATTTGCGAGCGAGAAATATGGAGTAACTTGGAACAGACAGGGGCAAGTGGTGAATTATGAAGTGAGAAAGTCGAGAGTGAGGTGTCCAGTATCTGGGCAGGTAGCAAATACCTCTTTGTGGCAGATCATCGTTGACTTGCGTGTGCAGCCAACTAACTGCCTCGGTGTCATAAACTAGCGTGACTAGACACATGAGACGGATCGGTGGAGAAAACGATGACAGAGAGGCAGTAGCTGCAGTGACGCAAGGTCGGAAAGGCTGATCTGTTGATATCACCAAGTCGTAGAGTCACCAGTTATGAAGATCAGTGTCGGTGAGTTAGTTCTGCCCGTGAGAAGACTCGACCGGCCGAAACTCTCTTGGGTTCCAACCGACTGCCGGGTCCGAGTCCGTGGTTGGTCGTCCGCCGGTAAGTGGGGCCGGTGCCGGTCCAGTATGTCTCAAAGACGCATTCAGGTCTCTTCGTCGGGCACCGCACACTTCAACCCAGACAATACCCTACGACCTCTGTCTTCTCCAGAACTGCTCAACCTTCCACAGCAGATCCAGCCCACCAAGTCTGGTCTTCTAATCCAGGAGGCAGTTGCCCAACCCCAAAAGACCTCACAAACGTTTCCACTATCAGGGTGCTCCTGTGCTCAGGGGCTCAGGGGTCATTGTTCATCGTCTCACATCCATCCATCCACAAACCGCGCGTCCAGCGTTTGGGCTCAACCGCAAAACACCATCGCCATTGCCTCCCCCCACGTGTGACTGGAGCCTGTCTAGACTGATGTTTCGACATCTTTCCAACTCTCTAGTGGGCCGGCTGAGAGGAGAGAGATACGGGTGAGTGGAGTTCCTCACTCGAGAGCAGCTGCGAGTGTGAGCTGGCTGTAACTGCGGAGGGTGGGATGGATCGAGGGGGCTAACTAGCATCAGAATACGGCCGAGCCGAAGGGTGATAGTTGGGTAGCTATGCTATGTGAGTGAGTCTTTCTTTCTGATATCGCTCATGGTATGTTATTAGAGAGATTGCAGCCCAAGCGGCTGAGGAGTGAGTTCCCAAGTGGAGGTTTGGTTTGATAAAAAACACCACAACCACTTGGCGGTGAGATGCGATGGAATGCGGGGCATTTGGCCGCGGGGTAGGATTGAGCGAGAATTTGATGATGCAATTGGCTCCGCTTTTTGATGGTGAAGGGGCCCCACTGGATCTCTTTGCCCAACGCCATGGTGGAGCCCTGGGCGCCTGCCAAGTGCTTGCTTTCTTGATCCCGGCAGGCAAGGAAAGTGTTAGCGATACTGCTGGGCTGGGAAGGGGAGCTGGGACTGGGAGGGGTTGGTGTTGAAGGTTTTGGTAGAGAAGGAGGGCTGATGTAGGAAAGAAAGCAAAGAGTTCTCGCTGACAGCTACAGACATAAACTATACTGAGAAACAAAACTTTCCCGGTAGCCAACGTTATCGTCGTTATAGCACTCACGCCACCAGTGGCGGCATGCTGCAGACGCGCAGAAGGGACGCTCTGCAAGCCACCACCCATGAGGTGTCTCGCAAATGAAACATCAAAAACGGTGTTGACGTCCAAATCTTGGCAGGCGAGATCTCCCACTGGGCTCTTGGTTACAACGTCTCTTGATACCCAAAGACGCTGGAAAAAGCCATACAAAATGCCCAAGGTTGATGTCCACTCTCTTGAGGGCCGTAACATCACAGGAAGGAGAACCAAACAGATCATCGCGACAAGAAGACCTGCGGTAGCCCCGCTGCTCTGCACCGGGCCCTGCTGCTTCGATGCAAGAGCTGCCGCATGCTGCAGGCTGCAAGAAGGAATTATCAAAAGGTGCCGTTGGGTTGCACATCGCCATGGGCCGGTCAGGCAAAAGGTGATTTGATGGTGGTGGTGGTAGTGGTAGGGTACCCAAGATAATAACCGATGGGGCAGACGTCAGGGGTGTCAATTATTAGCGCTTGCGGCACAACAAGCTAGGGAAGCTGCTTAGCTCCATTTCCATCCTCTTCAGTCGCCTTCGTCCAGTCTTCCTGCCACATCCTGCCTGCATTTTTAAACATCTCCAGTTCGGGCCCGACAAACTTCGTCCGTTCTTATTTTTGGTCTTCAAGTCTTTGTTGTCTGTGGCTCTTCTGCTTTGCTATCTTCCACTTGCCCTGTTCTGTACCATTATCGCTCAACACATATCACGTGCCACGCACATACGCTCCCCCAAGGTTCGACATCTAATACACCGCCGCCATGGTCACGGGCACGAAGAAGGAGGACGTGTACGCAAGTGTGAGTGATGTCGTTCACCACGGTTGGATGGGCTATCATCACTTGTTGCGCCTGGTATTGGTGTATCAGGAGCAGACGACAGTGTTGGGTGGAAGACCACATGGGACAACCCCGCAGCTTGCGAATAGATGCTAAAACAGCCATTGTGAATAGCTCCTCCTGACGGACACATATCTCCCCGGTGGGTTTGCTCCTACATGCTTCTGATTTGAATGCTTGTGCTAACATTGGCCTTGCCAGGTGCTCTTGTCCTTGCCCACTCGTTGCGCGATGCCGGCACCACCAAGAAGCTCGCCATCCTTGTCACACCAGACACCGTCTCGACCGAGGTTATCGCTACGCTCAAGGCAAGCTCCTTCAGAAACCACTTCTCACAAAACTAGTGGTCTAACAGGTGCGCAGACTGTATACGACTATGTCATCTATGTCGACCGCATCCGCAATGGCAAGCCCGCCAACCTCTTCTTGATGAACCGCCCGGATCTCCACTCGGCCTTTACCAAGATCAACCTGTGGAAGCAGACCCAGTTCCGCAAGATTGTCTACATTGATGCCGACGTTGTTGCTTACAGAGCCGTGGATGAGCTCTTCGATCTCCCACATGCCTTCTCGGCGGCTCCCGATATCGGATGGCCCGACTTGTTCAACACCGGTGTCATGGCCCTGACCCCCAACATGGGCGACTACTATGCCATGATGGCTATGGCCGAACGCGGCATCTCGTTTGACGGCGCCGATCAGGGCCTCTTGAACATGCACTTTGGAAACACATATAACCGCCTCAGCTTCACCTACAACGTCACGCCGTCAGCTCACTACCAATATGTTCCCGCCTACCGCCACTTCCAGGGCAGCATCAACATGGTGCACTTCATTGGAGCCGACAAGCCGTGGAGGCAGGGACGCGAAAGCACCACGGACGCCGGACCTTTCGATGAGATGACCGGAAGGTGGTGGGCTGTTTACGACAGACACTACCACAAAGAGGTAGGTCCGGACCGCAGCGGCCGAAAGAAATCACTAACTCCGGGGCAGGCCGGACACGCGCCCAGCATTGTTCAGCACTTTGTCAAGGGAGAATACAACCCAACGGCCCGTTATGTCGTGCCCACTGGCGAACCCAACGGTCAGCAATCCCCTACCCCCTCGCAAGAGGAACACCAGGGGAACCAGGATCATGTTGCCCACTCTGGAGACCATCATGTCCATCATGAGAGTCAGGATCACATCCACCAGGAGGAACACACTTCCGCGGAACCCAAGGTGACGAATGAATCTGGAGGTGCATATACTGAGACGTTGCCGCAAACAGGATGGGATGCCCAGAGGAGCTCACCCCCGACCGATTCCGGGCCCGAGGCCGCAAACTTCCCCCGCACACACTATGAGATGTCAAGAGACACTTCGCAGTTCCAGGCACCCGACCGCTACCCCAGCCCTCCCAGCAACATGTGGTACTCGGTACCGAGCGAGCGCGATCAGCCCAAGTCTGTTTTCCCGTGGGAAAACAATGCGCCTCGCCCCACCCGCGTGTTTGCTGAGAACCCCTTGGCCCCCGTGACTCCGGCCCCGAAATCTCCTGGTGAGCAAAGACGACACGTTGTGGGAAGAAGAAACCCATTGTTTACGCCTATAGGTCCAGCCATCCGAACCGCCCCCTCTCCCGGCGGAACCGCCTGGAACTCGTTGAACCAAAGCAACGCGTGGGATGAGATCCCCCAGATTAACCGCTATGTTGACTCGATGCAGAGACACCGCAGGTCTAGGAGCCAGATTCTGGCGGCGAGCCCAGGCAGATCGACATCCGGCGAACGCCAGGAGGAGCCAAGCGAGGAGCGCAGAGGATCCATCAAGGTAACCGACTTCCCTACCGAGGACGACCGTCCGAGCCTTCCGGTCACGCCCGCACCGGTCAGGAGGCGACAGTTCTGGGCCAACGCTGATGATAATGGCCAACAGCTGCCTGCTGCCGAGGGCGTTCCCGCCCAAGACGAATGGGTATGTATTTGATGATCGGGGTATGCTGTCGCTGCAAGACGAGCTTGACTAACCGAGACACAAAAAGGACCCGGCTGCTCAACTCCAAAAGTTGGCCAAGCAACAATCCGAGGTCTTGTTGGAGAAGTTGGGTGCCAGCGGAACCGGCCAGAGCCAGGAGAGCATTAGTGTGGATGGAAAGGAGATTCCCCACCGTCCGTTGCCGTTCGGATCCGAAGATGTGAGGTCGCCTACTTATGTTGCCCCCTCGCCTCCAGTGGTGAGCCCGAGACCGATCAAGCCTAACCCGGCAGAGAAGATTCTAGCAGAGGCCCCCGAGCTGGTGACGGGACAGACGACGCCCAGGACCGTGGAGTCGCGCTCCCCCAGCATTAGCACGACGGCGACGATTGCCGTGCCATCCTACCAAGGACCCGGAGCCATGTTTGAGAAGGGCGAGGACTATCTGACACAGGACACCCCCGCGCAGCCGACCGAGGAGGACCTTGACGTTTTGCAGACCTAGAGGGCTTGAGGATGAGACGGGATAAAAAGGGGTCTGGTGAGGTCAAGGGTGGTCTTTTTTTTTTTTGGTTTTGTTGCTTGGGTGGGATGGCATGGCAAGCATGCGTCGAGTGGCTTTTTGTTTTAGACTGGTATTTTTCTTTTTTTCGTCTGCTCCTGCATTGAACTCATCAGAAGTATCACGACACATGAAGCATTTGGAATTCTTTTGGCAGAGTTCGAGCGATGTTGAGCAAAGTTTCAATGTTTTTATTTCGATGATCTTTGAACACGGTGGATGACGTCACTTGGTGGTTGAGATGGGATGAGTGCGTTTGTGTGGGTTGTAGGTATGAACTAGTGTTTGTGAATATGAGACCAGGAATCGGGGCCAGTAGTGTTTACGTGAAATGACGCTGTAAAGGGCAGTGTTTTAGGCAATGTAAACAATGCAAGGAACACGAAGGATGAGGATGGTAGGTAGTTTGTGATGGAGGGGCAAAGCTGCCAAGCTCTTATCGCTTATCACCCCGCCACCACTCAAGCTTGGGTGTGTGTGTCTTGTCCGACGTCGCCGCTTGTTACTCGAGTCGTTTTCTTGACTTGGATAACTACTCGCTCATAAACTCATCTCTCACTTTTCACTCAGACAATCACACATCTTGCCATCATCACCACATCTCATATCAACTCTCAGCCAATGATGGGCGACCTACACCCTTCCACCACCCCCAACGGTGACAATGAACAAAAACCAATCCCCATCACCATCCTCACCGGCTTTTTGGGAGCGGGCAAAACAACCCTCATCCTCAACCTCCTCCCCCAACTGCGGGCCCTGAATCCAAACTACACTTTGGCGCTCCTAAAAAACGAGTTTGGCGACCTCGCAGTCGACAGCCAGCTTGCCTCGTCTTCTTCCATCTCCTCGGTTAAGGAACTGCTGAACGGGTGTATCTGTTGTAACTTGGTAGGCAGCTTATCCTCTGCCTTGAAAGAACTGAGGGAAACGGCGAGACCGGACAGGGTCATCATCGAGACGAGCGGGAGTGCGTTCCCTGCCACGTTGGCTATGGAGGTTAATAGACTGGG